TTTAGCTAGTGTTCTGAAGGAAGAGTCTGATGCTCTGATCAGAACTGTTAAATCGTCTGCGAACATGATAGCTGTGGGAAAATCCATCTGGTGGGCAGAGCCTACATTGGTGTTGGCTAGTCTCTGGATTGATGGGTCCTTGCGCAGGAAGGAAGCAATTGCCTCCATTACGAATAGAAAGATTGACGGGGCCAACGGGTCCCCTTGGCGGATCGAACGGGATATCGGATAGCAATCTGATAATAATCCGTTGACTTGGACACAACCAGCTGCATCCTTGTACAGTATCTTAACCCACTTTCTGAAGTTTGGTCCGACTCCCATTCTTTCCATGCTAGCTTCCATAAAGTCCCGGTTAACTTGGTCATATGCCTTCTCAAAATCAAAGAAGAGAATGACGACTTTTATTTTCCTTTCTCTAATTTTCCTGAACGACTCGTTCAACGTCATAACATTATCTACAATATAACAACCCGGGATGAATCCAGTTTGATCGATGTGAAAACATTTATTGGTGATCTTGATGATCCGGTTGGATAGGGCCTTGGCCAGGATCTTGTATGGGAGGGTTAACAACGAAATAGGTCTGTAATTCTTAATGTCGTCTTTCTCACCCTTTTTGTAAAGTAGCATGACTACGAGGCTGTTGAGTAGATTACCCAGCCCTCCCTTAGACTAACTGTCATTGTAGAAGTTTAGCAAGTCACTTCCTAGCAAGGGCCAAAATTTTTCCCAGAACTCTTTCGTTAGCCCATCGATTCCTGGGGTTTTGTTGTTGTTCATGCTTTGTAGGGCCCGATGTAGTTCTTCTGAAGTGATTGGTTTGTCAAATCGGCTTTCTTGTCAAGGACAGAGCCTGCAACATATAGGCGCGAGAATTTGGGAATCAGTATGGTCGTTCCCTTAAAACTTGTTTCAGGGTCAGCCGACCAAATTTCGTCCTTCAGACCGCCTAATTTTCTTGCCATAAATGTGCGAATACTGTTGTGTGCTGTTGAGAAGGTGAGGTGTGTTTCCTGTAATAGCACCATATCTGCTAGTTTCCTTTCTCTCATTGAAAACCCGACTAATAGATCGTTCCATTTTTCTTCTTTTTCTACTATGTTCCCCAATCCATTGACATTCCAGCTTATGAGGACTAATCCTTGACTTTTCCAATCAATGCGATCCCTTGCTTCGTTCGCTCTTCTCCTGTAGCTCTCCATGCCAGCAGCTGGATCAGATTACAGGGAATAGTAGGTCAAGGAAGATCTAGGTAGGGGGCGGGGTGGAAAGGTACCCATGCTCGTGCCTTCCCCCGAAGTCGCCTGATCAAAACCTGAACCGCTGTCCTTTGATGGGGAGAACGCAAATTCTCCTGCCTTGTCTGATCCCTCCGGCTCACTCTGACCAATCCCGTCCTTTTCTAGATCAGAGTTCCGACCCAGTTTCTCTCCTTCATCATCCCCATCCCACGAGGAGCAGTCAGAGGCGTCACTTCTGTAGTATCTATCACAATCCAAGGCGTATGCTCTTTTGCATCAAGATCCTCGTCCCCTTCCAGCTGTCCTATTTTGACAATTTGGGCCACAACTGTGGCCATCAGTTCTGCCAACACACCGATGCCAGCTAGGATGCTAAGGGATTTTGGCAACTGTTCGCCATAGTTTCCAGATCATCCCAAATCTCAACTTTGTTGATTCTGGAATCTTGGCTATCAGGGGTGAGAAGGCCATTGGAGAGTTTCTGCTCGTCTCGCACTTGCTGTATTGGACGTTTTCTGTATCCTCATGCATGTTGGAATCAAACGGATCTGCTTTCATGACCACTGTCTCAAAAAGCCCCAGTGGGGGTTCGGATGATACTCGATTTTTTAGCACCTTCACCACGTTTTTCCCCTCTACAAAGTGAGGGATCTTGAAGGCTACGTCTGTTGCGATCTGCCACTCCCTCGCGTCTGACGCGTACCTGGCTGCAATGAGAGGACGGATATTCCTCAGTGTTCTGCGAGCGGCTTTGGCCGACTCCGACACCATTGGGGCCCTTCCGCTAGCAATCTGAGTGATGGTAGTGAATTCAGGTGCATATTCACTTCTTCAGTTTTTCCGTTTGGGACAGAACAACGGCAGCTTCCTTTTCTAAGAGGCCGCGTTCCGATTTCTCTTCCGCCTCAGTTTGCTTGTTGTTGGTCTCCCTTCGTTTCTATTTTTTTTCCACTTTCCTTGCCTTGGGTCGTAAGTCCTGAAAGTTGTCCTTGGTTGTGGGGATGGTTTTGTCCTTGTCCTCTGTTCCTTGTTCCCTTGCCCTTTTCTTCTCAGCATATCTGAAGGCCGCGTATTCAGAAATTTATTCTGCTTTAACCTTCTTGAGGATTTCATACTGGTTGGAGGAGTTGTTGCCTCCCGCTGTTGCATCTTTTTTCCCGTTAACCTGAGATCTGTCTGCATGCTTCAGGCAGGCTGCACGGACATCAAACGCATGTCCCCTTTCCCTTTTTGCCCATTCCACATAGTCTCTGAGCCAGGTCAGAGACTGCGTGGAGCCGTCCCCTTCTTCTGTGGAGGGAGCGTCTGGCGCAATGCCCTTCCCATCAGATTCTTTGTCTGCCTGTCCTCCCATTAGATCCATCTCCATTCCTTCCTCTTCAACCCCGATTTCTATTGTTCTCGTTTCCTTCCCTCCTGCTGACTCCCGTGCCCTCCTTCTCTTTGATTCCGATTCTTTCTCTGACGTCCCACCATCACCTTGTAGCTGGCGTTTGTTGTCGGCTTGTGATTTGTTCTTTCTCTTGTATGTTTGTTGTACGACCTGTTTCAATGCTTCTCTAAAAAAGCCTGGTTCTTTGTTGTACTCTTCTTCGGTCTGTTCCCTTATCGTGTCAAGATCCCACAACAAATCTTCCCTTGCTTTTTCCTCCCTGATCACCCGTGAATCTGTTATAGGGCTGGTGTTGATCTTCGTCGGGTTGCCTTTGACTTTCCCCGTCGCTTTCTTTTGCCATCTGCGATCTGCCGGGGGGAAAATGTCCGGTTTTGGGGTGGAGGGAGTCTGGTCTGCAAAGTGTCATACCCAGTCGGGTTCATCAAGATTGTCGTCGAAGACCCATCCGTCGTAACAGGAGTCAGCCACGAACCAAATACTAGGAGCGTCTTCCACTTCTACCAGCATGTTAGGAAGAAGCTTCCTTTCTTTGGCTTGCTTCGGGAACTTGGGACAACTCGGGTCAGTACCCACGTGGCCTTGTGCATCGAAAGCAGATTGGCGAGGTTCTCGTAGATATCCTTACTTCAATCGTTCTGTTTTCAATCTGGAATTTCCAGACCGGGGGAAAAACAGGAGGATCGTCCGTTTGCACGTCCAGTATTGCTGTCAATGTCCCACAGTGAGGTGCCAAGAAGTCTGGCGTTGGTAAAATCCATTTCAGGACTTTGTTAGCTGTGTACTGTCTTTCGAGCCTGTCCACCAGCAATCCGTGGAAGCCCGGCTGTATGTGGTCAAATTGAGGGCGTGTTTAAAAAAAAAAAAAAAAAAAAAAAAAAAAAAAGTTTTAAAAAGTTCAAAAAAAGCCAGGTACTAAGTTAAGAAAACCCTGATGCTGCTAACAGAAAAACAGTACCGTGTTCCCAAATGCATCCGGACATTGATACATCCCACTACGAGGCCCTGTTACCACCTCTCCGCCATACAGTGAAAGTCAATCAACCTGCCCCGAGTCTCAACTTTTAGGAGTAGGCTACTAGATGGACTTTGCGTTTGCCTGTGAACGGTAGATTGTATGGCTGATGCACCACAGACGCTGAGGCTCAGTGTCGAGCTTCGGGCCCAGCTCCAGACCCAGCTAAGGTCCAAACCTGAGTTCAGTGAACCGCTACATCTGTCCAGAGCAGCGAGAACCATGGCCCATTATGTATAAATACTATAATTGTCATGATTGTTCTGGAGGAAATACCTTCCAAATCTCCATAGTGACTGTGCAAACGGTTGGAACACTGTGTTTTGGACTACTTCGCCATTTTCCGACTCGTCTGTCTAATTGCTGTCACACTGAAAGTAAAAGAGGGATGACAAAAAAAAACGGCAAAAACGCTGTTCTTCTTCTTGTTCCTCTGCTCAATTTTTGCTCTCTTTTCCAAATCCTAAGGCCACAACTGACGCCATCAGCTTTCTTTTCTTCATCTTCGTCCTCATCCTCCTCATCATCCTCATCATCATCTTCTTCTTCTTCGTCGTCTTCTACTACTACTACTTGTCCTTCTTCTTCTCCTCGACTGCTGCTGTTGCTGCTGCTGCTGATGATGGTCCTCCTCCTCCTCCTCATCCTCCTTCCCAATCTCCTCCTCTCACCTCCCTCGTCCTCCTGCTCCTCCCACTCGTCTTCATCCTCCTCCTTGATGCTGCCGTGCTTATATTTACGTTTATGCTCCACAGGGTATTCGGCATACTTTTCACTCAGTTGTGGATGTCTGCTGAGACTTTTTAAGTCCTCGATAGGTTCTGAATCTTCTGATACTTGGTGATTTGCGCTGAGTTGGCCATCGGTTGTTAGTCTGATGTTCTTATCTCTGCTCATTGCAGGCTCAGGTGCCTTCAAGCATTTCTTCAAAGAGGAGGGGAATAAAAATGAACAAGCAAGCACGGTGTCTAATGACAGTCTATGCTGTGCTGGCTGTGGGAGGGAACATGAAAGAAGGGAGGAAGAAAGTGGGACACAAAAACGATTTTTTTTTTTTTTTTTGAAGGTTTGACATTACAGAACAGTCCCTTGGTGCACGAGCATGCATTGCCGAGAAGGGAAAGTGCCTACCATGGAAGAATTGAACATGCCGGGGAGACAGGAGAAGGGGTGGGGAGAGGGGGAAAGAGAGAAACGGACAGACGGGATCAATCACGTCTTTCATGAAACACACTCGTTGCACCTTTCATTCTTCTCATGCAGCCACTCCCTTATTCTCTGTGTTCGGAATTATTAAATAATTAATTGAAATAATTGTATTACAAAAAATGATCAAATCGCTTCAAAAGAATTGTTTCTTATTTTGTTTTCCCTAACTGCAACAGTGGTACACCAGGGTTGGGAGACGTGGGAGGAAGTGCAATAAACGTATGCCTGTGTGTGTGTGTGTGTGTGTGTCTGAGAGAGAGAGAGAGAGAGAGAGAGAGAGAGAGAGAGAGAGAGAGAGAGAGAGAGAGAGAGAGAGAGAGTTTCCTCAATGTTTGGCAGGGTGCCCTCTTTGTCTCTTCCTGTTCTACCATTCAGCCTCATGGAGAGCCATTCCTTATTTTTATTTTCCAGGTAAATTGAAGGAGCTGGATTTTTCATGTTTTCTGGACCTCTCCTCTCCCCGTTCCCTCCCTACCTCCCTTCTCACTCATGTTCCACTTCTAATGAAGTTGGAAAGATCAGTGAGCCCAGCGTGTTTGTAAAGATCACCCAGTTGATCCCTGACATCATCCCAATTACCCTCAGCGGCTGCAGTATCAAGCAGAAAAGCCGCCTGGTCAAGAGATACTTGCTCGGGCGATTTCCCCTTGGTTATGTCTTCTTGCCTTGCTTCTTCTGTCAATCGTTCCTTCAACAGTTCAATCCTCTCGTCACTGTAGCCGGCTATGTCAGCCATTTCCTCAAAACTACTGCCTAGCGTCCACCAGGGACACCTAAGTGCCACTCTGGCCGCGTCTTTGGCTTCTGCTAGCCGTCCAATTCGCACAAACAACTCGGCGTTGAATCCGAAGGGTCGCCCAAATCCGGGGAAATGTTTGCGGCTGCAGTAAAACTCTGCAGCAACTAATGCCGACACGTGATCCCCTCTGTCTAGGTGACCAAGAGCCAGCCTTTCCAGCACATCCGGAAACAAAGCGACCTTCCGCGTTAAGTACACATCAACCGATGGGAGATTCGATTTGCTGAAGCTCCCCTTCACATATAGCTGTTCGCCCACTTCACCTGCTGCTGTTGATACATTCACACTATCCTCTTGAGGGAGGGGTTGATTGTTAGGAGATGAGAGTTGATCAGATGTTGTGCTTGTTGATGAGGGCTGATTGTGCAAACGCGCATCTTCCTCCACTAGGCATCGGTGGACGAAATCATCAACAGTTTTGGCGAGAAGGATTGGGCATCCAACTCCTGCTCCTCCTTCTCCTTGATTACCCTTCCGCAATCGAATCAATGGCATTTCTAACCCTTCTGGAGGAGTCGGCCATCTCAACAACGCGGTAATATCACCAGTCGTTGGATTGCTTGTCAAAGGGATAGCCAGCGGTAGGATGCCTTTCCGATCAGAGGGTGAGGCAGGGACCTCGCCTTTTGCCTGTAAGACTCTGAGAAGCACTGACAAAGTTGCTGGTGGAGTAATCTTTGCCACATCTTGGATAAACATGGCATGTTCGCGCTCGTCAACTGCTGCCTGACTCATGTGGATGACATGGCAGTGGTGGCTGCGACGGGCCCGCAGAGGTGATCCCCGCTGAGGAAACGACAGCTGGTACGGGGTTAATGTCATCATCTTGTTCATCATCATCATCAGCATCTTCTTCTTCTTCCTGCTGCTGTCATGGCAGGTCCATAGCCTGTGATCGGCCGTCATGGTCGACCCAGAACCTGAGGTTGATGTGACTGCTGCCATGTTAGGGGCCCCAACCACTCCTCGAGCGGTAGCTGTCACGCTGAGGGTGGAGCAGCAGCAGGAAGAGCAACAACACCGCAAAGAGCACCAAGATCCCACTCTGGCTGCTGTAGCTTGCTGCTGTCGCCGATGCTTCCGGCGCACCGGACACACTTGATCACGACAAATCGTCATCAGACTCCCATTCCCATCAGACACACAGTCACTTGACGCGGTTGCAGTTGCTGTGGTCACACACCTCCTCCTCAAGATGGCAGTGGAAGCTGCAGCAGGCACAGCTGCACCTACACTGGTGACAGCCACGGCATTCGCCATTGAGATCCTAACAAAATACAATCAGTGGCCACAACCGCTCCGCCAACTGCTGCAATGGCTAAACAGCAGCCAGCGCTCTCCTTCCTTAACTTTATCCACACTCACCTGGCTCCAAAACTGCCTGCTGGCAGATCGTAAGATACCATGGCAAATCCCTTCTGTCCGTCCTTCTTTGCGCTCTCTTGCTTTCTCAAAGCTCAGCGTGTTTGGGATGGCCCGTTTGGCTCGTTTAAATGGAGCATATTGCAGTGTGTTTGGAGTTCAAGCAGCCTATGAGTTTGGCTGGTATCAATCATTCACTTCTTTTCCCTGCTTATTGCAAGTGCCATACCAGAAAAAGAGACCCAACCTTCTGTGGAAACAAACATACACAAACAACACAGACTAAGAAATTACCCTACATCTCAACGAAATGGGTTGGGTACTCTCTCTGGAGCAGAGGGTGTTGGAGGGTGGGAGGGCGGGGAGAGGGAGGGTGGTTTAAATGAATAGAGGGGCCAAGTACTGGTGGTTTAAATGGCAGCGCTTCCCGCCCCCAGTGATTAGACCACCATCGTCCTGGCTAGAGAGGTACCTCAGCCCCTACCTGGTTAGACTTCAGGCACTCTGCAGATGATACATGCCCAGTTGGGCAATGTATATGGAGCCAAGGATCCACAGGGTGATGAAAAGGACTAGAATGGACAATGCAATGTCAGCAACGAATCAACAAGCAATGTACATCCCGATACATACAACATAGCACAATGTAGCGCACCGGAAGACTCAAAGATATGACCTGGCCTATCTGAGACTGACGCGACATCCCATCATACACCACACATGTGAGAGGGGGAGGAGGGACCGCATACACAGAAGAAAGGTCCCTCCTTGCACACGCACATGGGGGAGATACCACGGATGAGAGATGTGGGAAGAGGCGAGACGAAGATGGAGGCGAGGGAAAAGACCAAGATCGTGATAGCAAAATCCAAAAATACGTTGCCGAATGTCCAATCAATGTCTGCCACAAAATGTTGGATCAGATCCTGGGCACAATGCCCGATGTAACCTCTGCCTGTAGGGAGAAGAGATGGGGGGCGAGACGAAGAAGAAGAAGAAGAAGAAGAAGAAGAAGAAGAAGAAGAAGAAGAAGAAGAAGAAGAAGAAGAAGATGTTGTCCTCCTCGTTGTCTCACCTGCAGGTAACTGCCGCCATGTACTGACTGCCGCTTTGGTCCCTGTGCCGGTCGCCAGCGTGGAGCGCGGCCATGGCGACAGGTAAGTACCGCTGCTGCAGGTATGGCCTCCGCCCCTCTGCCTACCTGCGCCTCTACCTCTACCTCCTAGCGCAGCGCTGTAGTGTCGCAGCGCCGGTCCAGCAGCATGTCACCCAAGAAGTGAGCTACTTGAACTGTGTGTCTACTCAGCCGAGGCCCAGCTATATGTAGCGCTGGGCCAGCTGGGTGCACCTCTGTGTTGGCCTGAAAACAACCCACACGGTCTGGGCCCCTACCGGGCGTCCAGACCGTCCTGCTGATGAGCAGGCCGCCAACATGTGCCTGGCCTCGAACAGCCCTTCTCCCTGGTGTACCCAGCCCAAGGCGTGGCCTTGGGGACTGCAAGTCCGAAACGACGTCTGAACAGACAAAAATAGGACAGTGAACAAATAAATAAATATGAATGCTGTCTCGAATCCGTAACTGCGACCTAAGGGCCCCGTGGGACTCCAGGGCGCGTCTGATGGGCACGTGGCCTGGGAGGCCCTCAGCAACCGCCAGGCCTCTGAAATGGGGCCCGTGTGCAGGCGGAGCATGTAACACCAGACTTCTTTCCCTTTTCTTCCTTGTTTCTTTTGGGCATGTCAACTTCTCAAACGGAAAGTTTTTGTTATGCTCGTCAAATATGCATTTGTTTCAGTTCTTTCCCTCAAACAGCAAGCTTATGCCCCGCTGACCACAGTTCAAATTTCCAAAGTACTCCCACAAGTTGCTTGTGCTTGACATCTTTTCAGTATGACCCTACCGTTCTGGGATAAACTCTCCCAGATGCCCTAGTACATATGGTGTACTTTGGGGGATCTGTGAAAGTTGGAATGATAGCATGTCCCCTCAGACATGCCTAAGTCGAAAACTAGTATATATGGCCGTTTGAAGCTTCAACGGGTGAACAAAGACCATGGGATGCTGTGGGCCGGCCTGGCAGGCCCGTGCCGCAAAGTTACCCCGCCCTCCTTGAGGGGCCTGCCGAAAAGACTCCACGTCGGAGGGCATGCCACTGTAAGCTGGCTGTTTGAAGGGCAGAACACAGATAACCGACCTTTCTCAGATGAGAGAGTAACCGCAGGAAAAAAGAGGGAAAAGTTGTGTCATGACTCATGACCATCAAAGTTCATTTTATTGGCATTGCGGATGATTGCGCCCCTCTGACGGCCAACTTACCCTGCAGCACCCCTTTGAAGATGGTTCACATTTGCCAGAAAACCCTGGTGTCATTTGGGCCTGATATATTTTCGTAATGCCCCTATCGGTACCGGTTCAAATTTGCAGTATGCCCCTACCGGACAGCTGTTTGGTACCAGCACCAAAATTCTCGATATGACCCTACACTGCCTACAGGTAGCGTCCATCTTTTCAGCACTCCCCCGTAGACTGGCCGCCACCCTCTCACTCGCTCTCTCTCTCTCACTCACTATCTCTCTCCCATTCTCTCTCTCAAGTGCGCGAATGAATCAGCCCCTGTTCTGCACTGCGCGTCAATGCAGGTCATTCGCACACGAGCTTTCGCGAATGTGCGTGCACGTCGAGCGTGGGAGGGGGCTGATTCATTCACGAATACCCCTTCCTTCTCTCTCTCATACACAAACACAAACACACAGTCTCTCTCTCACACTCAAGCATGTCAATGCAGGCGCGTCAGGTGTGTGTGTGTGTGTGTGTGTGTGTGTGTGTGTGTGTGTGTGTGTGTGTGTGTGTGTGTGTGTGTGAGAGAGAGAGAGAGAGAGAGAGAG